TTTTAGATAAATTGCCATATAGGTTGTAAAATATCCATTTTTTCAAGGTAATGTAACAGTGAATGCTTGGCCTCTCAGACTCCATCTTGTTCAAGCCTGCTTTGTTCCAAGGGCCTTCTTGCTAATATCTTGTGCTTTGTCTTGCATATAGACATGCAAACCATTAGAGGAATTCTGCTTGCTTAAGTTTTATAAAAACAATCTCTTACCAGAAAGTGCCTCCCTTGAGGATAAAAGAGAAGTATATATTGTTTATCAAAGATCTGAAGAGCCTGGTGACTGGACTCATATCAACCAGCACAAACTTCCTTGGATCTTTGCTGGCACCCAGATATCTGCTGCGGTCAATCACTTCTTGCCCCTCCCATTTCCCCTTCCCTTAACATAAAAAAAAGTCTGTACTTTCTTAAAATGGAGTTGAGGTACTATTTGGGTTTCCATCTTCTCCATTGGCGCCTTCTTAATTAATAAACATTTCCTTACTCCAAAGTCAGACATTTTGAATTTTGGCCTTTTGAAGCATCGGGCCCATGGACCTTGGACCAGTAACAGTAATCAATAAAGCTATATTTATTTTCAATTAAAAAAAATGGCCTATAAACATTTTTATTTCTCTTGAATTGTCTCACGAAAAATAATTACCCTCACTACTGGCCTAAAGAGAAGCCTGCATGAAGTAATATCCTATTTTAATCACCCCCAGTTTTTTTAAAGAGTGGTGAGTGAGTGACCTCTGGAGGCAACTGAAAAAAGTGTCCTGCCGCTTTCCGGAGTGAAGTGGAGAGAATTATAAAGTAGATCTTTCCATTTAGAGAAGATGTTTTTGAAGTTTAATCAGTGTGAATTAAAACATTTAATTTTAAAATTAGTTTACAGAACCTCAAAATTCAGTTAAGTAATATTTATTAGGTATATGTTACAATGCTACAGGGGAGATAGAAACATAAGACCTATCATCTCTATCTCATTGAGCTTACAATCTACCTGGGAAGTAAACTTAATTGCTAAAATAACTATAATTCAAGCTACAATGTGAGATAACTTAGGAGTAGCACAACTACACAGGAATTCAGATTTTTTTCATTAAGGTGTTCAGAGAAAGTCTACTACATTCAACAAACACGAAAGACCCACTATGTGCTAGGCACTATGATAAAGGATAAATGAGACACTGTACCTTCCTTTCTGGCACTCTCAGTATTGTAGGAAAGAGGGCATATAAATAGGAAAATTCTATATGAAAGTAAGTGGACTATTAGTACTAAGGAGAGAAAGTAAAACAGCGTCAAGACCAAGAAGAGGGTTGGAAAAGGCTTCCTTGAGGAAGTAACATCTATGCTCATGCTCAAAATATAGGTAGGACTATTTCTAGTTCAGCTTTGGCACCATAAGCCTACACTAACCCATATTTCCTTCTGATTACAACTAAAAACTCATGACAAAACACAAATAGCAACTACCTGAGGGCTCTGAAAAGTAAATAAAGGTTGTGAAGAGAGGTCAAAACTTAGAAAAGAAACCTGCAAGGGAATAAGTTTCCTGACTTTTTTTTTCTTATGGCTTTGTCTGAAGAAGAGACCCCATTTGGGGACTGTTTGGCAGCAAATTTAGCTAAAAACTGACAGAAACCCCATCTTTCTGGTCCAGAGAACTGAGAAAAGGAGCCTTCGTGAGTTGGAAAATGAGTGGGACAGGGTGGGGAAGAGAGGTGAGAGCTAGAGAAGGTGGTCCCTGATTTATGAACCACACAAGTCTTGGGTTCACTTCTGGGTTGCGCTTGTATGCAAGAGACCCAAAGCAGCCTAACAAGGCTTTGGCAACTGAGCTGTGAGTCAAACCATGGCCTAAGACTCAGATTAACCTCTGAGTGGTACATGTTCAGGACAGAGCCATAGCAGCATACAGAGGCTTTGAAAACTGAACTGAGATTGAAACCATCACCAACAGAAGGCAATACAAAACTTGCAATGTGAACCTAACCAGGCTGATTGACTGCTTAAACAAACATACATTCTCCAGAGGAGGATTTTAACAGGATCCAGAGTCTGCACAATGTAACAATCACAATGTCCAGGATATAAGAGAAAATTATCTGTCATACAAAGAACCAGGAAAATGTGACCAAATCCCAATGGAAAAGACAATTAACAAATACCGACCCTGAGACAATGCGGATGTTGCAATTTTCAGTCAAAGACTTTAGAGCAGCTATTATATGTTCCAGAAGATAAACACCTTTGAGATAAATGTAAAAATAGACATTTTCAGCAGAGAAATAAACTATGAAGAAAAAAAAAACAATTGGAAATTTCAAACTGAAAAGTACACTATCTGAAATATCTGAAATATAAAAATTCACTGGATAGGTGCAATAGCAAAATGGAGATGATGAAAGAAAGAAGCAGTGAACTTGAAAATAGATGAATCAAGAAATTACCCAAAACAAAGAGCAGAGGGGGGAAAAATAGAACATATGAGCATCACAGACCTGTGTGACAAAATCAAAAGGTCTAACATACAAGTCATTAGAGTCCCAGAAAGAGAGAAGAAAGAGATTGAGGCAGAAAAATTCTTTGAAAAAGTAATGGCTGAAAACTTCCAAAATTTGGTGAAAGACCTATACTTATAGATTCCAGAAGCTTGATGAAATGAAACAGTTAAATTCAAAGAACACCATGCCTAGAAACAGAAACTTTAAAATCAAACTGCTATAAGCCAAAGATAAGGAAAAAGATCTTGAAAGCAGCTGGAGAAAAATGAAATATCACACAGAGAAGAGCAACAACTTGAATGACTGCAGAGTCTAGGGTGGCCAGAAGACACTGCAATAACAGCTTTAAGTGTTGAAATAAAAGAATTGTGAACTCAGAAGCCTTTATCCAGTGAAAATATTTTCAGGACTTAAGGTAAAATGAACATATTCTTAGATGAAAGAAAACTTAGCTATTTGTGAGCTGACCTGCCCAAAAAGAAATACTGTAGGAAGTTCTTTACAATGAAGGGAAAGGATACCAAAGGGAAACCTGGATGTTCAGGAATGAAGGAAGAGCAACTGAAAATGTAATGATTTAGGTACATTATAAAAGACTATTTTTTTCTCTTAAAGTCTTTAAAATAGGTATGATTATTGAAAGACAGGCTGGAATAAGACAGGTGCTATTAGGTAAGACTAAGCTACTGTAATGAAAATTCTGTCTTTTAAAAAACAGATTTTTCAGAGGGAAGCATTCCAGGTCGACAGGGTAGCTCTGCTCCACACATCATTCAGGGACCCAGGCTCCTTCCATTTTATGGGTCTACAGTGTTCTAGGGCTTTGTCATTAAGTACATGGTTGAAATTCCATCATAGCCATCTATGTCCAGGTTCCAGGTAAGGAAGTTTTAAGATGGCAGAACCTCCAGTGTTTTAAGGTCCCTCACATTCTATTGGCATTCCTAATTGCAAATTCAGCCTGAAAATGTAATGGTGTGAGACAGTCATGCAGTGGGTTATAACTATCGCTTAGGAAGAAAAGGTAAATAGATTTTGATGAATAGCTAGCTGCTTCTGCCACAGCAGGTAAAAGAGAAAGGAGGCATTTTAGACAGAGGGAATAATATGATCAAAGGTAAAGAAGTAAGAAATAACATGAGGTGTGTGAAGAACAATTCTGAGGCTGGAATGTAAATGAGATAGGGACAGCAAGAGATGAAGCTGGAGAGGTGGGAAGCAGCAGATGAAGCTGGATTTTACTCTCAAGGAGGAGTTGAAAGGTTTTATGTAAGAGATTTTCATTTTGGTTAGATACTTAGGGATGAAAATTTTAAAAGTCGTCTGTGATAATAGTATAGATTAGAGGCCTGACATTAGAAATATCTATAGAAGTCAAACTGGCAGGACTTCGTGATAAACTAAGGAGAGAAAAAGAAGGAAGCATTAAGGGAGGACCTCAGATTCCTTATAGAGATGACTGGGTGGCTGGTGGTACCAGCATGGAAAATCAGAGAGTAGGAGCATATATATTGACGAAAAAGATGGGTTCAGTTTTAGATGATAAAGATGAAATACTCTGAAGCTTGAATTCCCACAAAATATTTTTGATTTCATCAAATCTCAGTGTGCCAGGAGAAGTACGTTGCTTAAGTCCAAACTCCATTGTATGGCATAAAACACCCTTTATAATTAGCACCTAACCTACCTCTCCTATATCATTTTCTATTCTCTTTAATATATACACCTTTTGTTTTAACTACACCAAACTTTTCTCAAAGAGACCTTTCCTGATTTTGAATTCTAAAACAGGTTCTCTTAAATCATAGCATCTGTACTTTCTGGAGTAAATTGGGAAGGGATTAATGACCAAGTGGATGGGGGTGGAGAGATGGGTTTCAAGGGAAATGATAATGAGACTCAGGTTTGTAGTCTGGGAGCCTAAGTGGATGAGAGAGAATCAGGTGGAAAAGAATATTTCAGACGATAAAGAAAAATATTTACACATCTCGAGGCTGTGGTCTGTTTGGTCAAAGAGCCAAAGGAAGCATAAAGCTGGAATCAGATGAAGAAGGCATTTCCTTCTCGGCTGGCATAACTTTACTCAGAGATTCTGCAAATCGATACCCTGCTCCACTTCCTTACAACAACAGAATTATTTGCAGGGGAGAGAGTGAGCTTGAAACCACAGCTTTGGTTCCAGATTTCTTCCATGAGCTATTGTTACACTACTGTTCATGTACAGCCACTGATTTGCTCTCTGACACTGGGCAAATTGCTACTTATTCTCTATAACTTAATCCTCCTACTTGTAAAACGAGGATAATATGGAATTTACTGTGTCGTTATGAGGAATAAATGAAATACACATGGAAGCTTACCTGTGAGATTCAACAAATGTTAAGTGACAGATGAGCTACAGATCCATATACGACAGATCTCAAAAGAGGGCAAGAATTTTAGAAAGTTGTATAAGAGACTGGCCTTCGGGCTCCCTTTACCCCCCGGGGGGGCGGACGCGAAGCCATACCTTGATATGGCCCGTATTTCTGATAACTGGTCGGCCACATATTACCTCGTGATTCGTCCAGGTCCCAGGCTGTAGCTTCAGCTGGCTCCACCACGGGGCGCCAGCCCGCAAGCCTCTGTGGGGTCACCTATGCGTGATGCTGACCGAAGTCGAAGCCCGACGTCAAGTCTCCCAGGCAACCATATCAACTTCCGGTTTCTGGCTCGTCCCTGGCTGGCGAAAGGCCACTTTTCCGCCACGTGACCTGCGCACGCGCCGTGCGTGCAGGAGGGCGCAGGGCCGCAACCTGCAGTACCCGGGGTGTTCCAAAGTTCGAGCTCCCGGCCCTTACTAAGGGCCGCCCTCGGGGAGGCGGCGCCAGCCTGGCCTCTGCTCGGCTTTCCCGAGGCTTCGCAGAGAAGCTGGGCAGCAGCAACACCGCTTCTCTCGAGCCGCCGAGCCGGAGATGGAATTGGACCTCCATGGGGCCGGAGCTCCGGCTGCCGGGGAGCGGCTACTCCAGGCTGAGGCCCCGGCGGAGAATGAGCCGGAGGTGGTGGCGGGCTCCCGGCGGAGCCGCGGGACCGGGAGCGGGCTGCGGTGGTTCGTCACCGTGATCCTGTGTGCCTCCTTTCTGGGGCTGGTGAGAGCCGGGGCATGAGCAGGCGTCCTCTAGAGAACGTGGCTTTCCGAGTTCGCGTCTCGCCTCCGTCACTTGCAAACTGTGTGACCTTGGGCGCGTTGCTGTCCAAGTCTCAGTTTCGTAATCTGGGAAATGAACACAACTCTAATCTTGGAGGGTTGTTGTCAGTTGCGAAATTGACTTTCCTAATATATTTCCCAGCTCCAGCAAACCTTCCTACCTCTCCTCCGTGGAGTGGGGAGATGCAAAAGAGGTTACCAGGTCTATAGCCACCCGCAATTATTACACAAAGTTGCTTTTCTGGAGTTTCCCCTTTCACCAAATTCAAGCAGTCCGTTATTTTTGCATATGCGGGAACTAGAGCCAGGGAGGGAAAGTGACTTTTCGGGACGACATAGCTGGTTAAGTGGTAGAGCCAAGAATAATCTCTTATTCTGCCCACAATTCTATGTAAAACAAACCTTCAGATCCTTCAATGTTCTTCTTAGGGCACACTGGGAAACTAGAAGCTCCTTTTGCCAAACCTTTTAGCCTCTCTGCGATTCCCTTATTTCTGGAAACCTCCCTGTCATTACTTGTATTGAATATTGGGATCCCGGGTAGTTGGGAGGGTGAGTCCTCTGAGGAGAGTCACATTTGGTCGCTTACCGTCTTTCTCTGAGCCACAACTGAGTCTTAGAATATTATAATTTGAAAAAAGAAAAATTATTGTAGACTCTTGGTGCGCCCTGACTGTGTGCCAGTTTCCGTTGTAAGTGCTTTGAAGGCAGGAACTAATTTGATTATAGCTGGAGCTCAGCTTTCTCTCCAAAGTGCATATTTTGCATCTGTGCCCAGTCCTGCCTTTAGGGGCTGCTCTAGCTTGGGCAGGGGGCGTTTAGAGCAGAGCAGTGCAATTAGAATTAATTGAAATGTAGACAAATTAGAAACATTTTTTTAAGTGTCTTAGGAAATTCCTCTGAAATCCAACTTAATTTTTGCAAACACTACATTGTCTTCTAGTAAAATTTTATTTTTAAATTTATCGTATATGTGTATATAATATATTTTTTAGAAAAAGCTTGCAGACTGTTTTTGAGGGCTTGGGGTTTTCTTTGAAGAAAAACGTAAATTTAGAAACATTTACATTGTTTATCTTCTGAGTATTTTATATATGTAATTCAGAGGAAGGACCCCATCTGCATCCAGAAATACTGCTGTCTGTGTTTTAATAACGTCAGAAAATGGGAATAATATTTTGATGGTTTGAGAATTAAAACATTTAACATCTAAATTCTTGTGTTAGTTATTTGTGTTAGTTAAATGTAGTATATTTCAAAACATACAAAACTTAAAAAATTTAATGTTACATTTTACTATTAATACAAAATAGTCTTCTACAATTTTGTTCAAAAAGGAAAGAATTGCAGAAAAAAGCCAAAAGAATTAAAGAATTTTTTTAAAATCAAGAGTTATCAAACTAGAAAAACAATAGAAGTTGGTACACCAGAAATAGGAGTCTATAACTCTATTAGTCTAGCATTGTCATCTTGAATTTTTCCTGCTGTAGGACTTAAAGTGATCCCCCATGTTACATCGAAACCCCTTTTCCCCTTTTTAATAGTGGGAAAAAAAACTGCATAGATATTATTTTAATGATTGTAAATAAAATTTTTTGTCTTTAAAAAATTTAGGGATTGAGTATCGCTATAGTGGGACCCACATTTCAAGATTTGGCAGCTAATGTGAACCGCAATGTCAGCAGTCTTTCTCTGATTTTTGTGGGACGTGCCTCTGGATATTTGAGTGGCTCTGTGATTGCTGGAGTTCTTTTTGACAGTGTGAACCATTTTCTACTTTTGGGTAAGTAAATTTACAATTTGTTTTTAAATATAAAACATACTGGCTTGCAGAATGGTTGGCAACTTAAGTGGGTAGTGTTAGGTATCCTAAATGGTAGTCAGGTTTCCCTAGTGCCTGTGTTCATCATGACAGTTACAAGGAATCTGTACTGGGCAGCTCTGGAAATTTAGATTAGCCCTAGATAGTGTTAGCAATCCTTAGTCTTTCCGAATGTCGCTGTAATTTAGGCACCACCCCTAAATCACATGCTGGTTGTTCAAAGAGCTCTGCTGGTCATACATTAGGGCAAATCTGGGGTCCCCATAGGTCAAAAGGAACTCCTTGAACATGCCCAACCTGAGCCCTGGATTGAGAGTGAAGGGAAGGGGAAGGGAGTGGTGTTGAAATGATGTAGGCTAAATTTTTGTTCCTGCTGCCGCATGTCAGTGACGACACCACTTTTCTATCTCACCCGTAGACTAGATGGCAGAGATTTTAACTTAACTCTTTTAAAAATAAATTGACATGTTTAAAGAAAGTTTGGATTATGTGATAAAACTGCTTTGGAAGTAAGGAGAATAATGTACTATTGTTGATGAATAAATAATCCTTTGAGTTCCAAAGTGGATTGAAAAAATATATTTCTTTCATTTTCTTCCCTATTTCCCAAACTAACTTATTTAGTACATTTCTACAAACTACTCTAGTAATTGCATTTTATGTTTTGTTTTTATTTTTCACCTCATATTTAAAAATCTTAAATATGAAACATTTAAATAATTTTTGAGCTGTCTGTTTTTCTTTAAAACTTTGCCTTGTATAATTTATAGTTTGATTATTAGTAGTGCTAGAAATGTATTTATATTAGAATAACTTTTACAGTCCATAAAGATTATAAAAGCTTTTAAATGAAATAACCATTTGTAGAAGTTGAACCTCTCATCTACTCATTATTACTCAATTTTAATTTGACCTGTTTTGCATCTGGAGGAGTTTTTATGATGTTGACTTGATCTATGACTCTACACGAATATTGTTTCTTATAGCTGACTTTTACCTTTCTTCTCAGGGGTGTCAATGTTGGCTACCGCAGTTGGTCTTTATCTTGTTCCATTTTGTAAGACAGCAGTATTACTGACTGTCATGATGTCCATCTTCGGTGTTTCAATGGGCATTCTGGATACAGGTTAGTGAGCCTACTGACCTACTGACCTACTGAGTTGGTTATGGGGTCACCCATTCAGAACCACCCTTCTGGCAACTGCTCTTCTTGTCAAGTAGGGTACCTGTTTTTGAGTAGCCAACCATGGAATGAATTTAAAGAATTTTGTTCTATGAGAGATTGTTGATTTACAGTATCCAAACAGGGAAGTGCTCCCCCATCCGCCAATCATGTGGGTAATTACAGTGCAGGTGAGTGGGCTTTCATTTCGGGATAGAACTTTATCATTGTAATATGGGAAGAATTGGTGATTTAATAGGTTAAACCAAGTTTGGAACCAGTATTTGGCTGAGGAATCAAAGAAGCAACTTTTCAATTTAAAATGCACTCTGTGCCTTTATAACTAAGAGAAACCTGTTTTGTGTATTATGTTCTTTCTCTTCTTTTTCTCTCAAAAGTTTCTGCCCTCCTATAGGAGAGCCTATCTATGAATCTTGTTATCTTCTAAAACCTACTAAATAACATACATGACATTTGTTTACCCCTGAAACCAGCTTTCTCCCCCTGTTCCACTGTTACTTGATAGGTTGGGGAAATATTTTATACTTTAGGCTTAGTTTGGTTGTGAAATTACAGGGTGGAATTTTATGTTTATTTGCAGATATATTAGAGAGGGGGAAGGGGAGAGACAGGGAGTGGCTTCTTGCCTTTCACCTTGCAGGTGTACAGATAGTGTAAGTGTAGATGCTGCACATATCCTTGTTTCCTGTAATGGACACAGCAGAATCCTGTAGTGTTCAGATTCCTGAACATGTGTTTTTTCATCTGCTATATATAATTTTCCTCTAATGGCTACCAGTTACAAGTACAGAAAGATTTGGCAATTTGGCCACTATCTGAAGATAATATATATTTAAAATATTTATAAATAACTAAATATGTAAATATCTCCCTTGCCTCCAGCCTGGTATTAGAACCATATTATAAAAAGCCTTGGGTGATTGTACCTGGCTCTAGGAGGTAGTGGTTTACTAGTTTGTAGAATTCCATTCGTATTTGGTGTTCCAGTGCTTAGAATTCTCTGGTGGTGGTGGTGGGTTCCTTAACCATAGAATTGACTTAGTTGCAATATTTGATAACTTAGTCCTTGTGCCATGTGAAATAGACTCATCTTTCTGATAGTAATGAACTATTTTTTACTAAGTTACTATGATTAAATAATTTTCCCCATCTTTCATTGATAGGTGGTAACGTCTTAATTTTGGCTATTTGGGGTGACAAAGGAGCCCCACATATGCAGGCCTTACATTTCTCTTTTGCTTTGGGTGCCTTTTCGGCTCCACTGCTGTCTAAATTGGCATTGGGAACGACAGCGTCTGCTGAAAACCACACAGAGGCTGACTTTAACCATTCTGCCCTCAACCAGTCATCTGAAGCTGACTCAGAATCTCTATTTGGAGTACCTGATGATACGAATTTACTGTGGGCTTATGCTATCATTGGTACTTATGTTTTTGTAGTTTCTGTCTTGTTTTTTGCTCTGCTTTTTAAGAAAAGCTCAAAGTGGGAAAAAGCAAAAATGTCTGCTCAGAGGTCTCGAAGAGCTAAATATCACAACATCCTTCTTTGTCTTCTGTTTCTGTTCTTCTTTTTTTATGTTGGAGCCGAGGTAACATATGGCTCTTATGTTTTCTCATTTGCAACCACCCATGCTGGCATGAGCGAAAGTAAAGCAGCTGGGTTGAACTCCATCTTCTGGGGAACCTTTGCAGCCTGCAGGGGCCTAGCAATCTTTTTTGCTACATGTTTACAACCTGGAACCATGATTGTGTTGAGCAACATTGGCAGCCTGGTGTCATCTTTATTTCTGGTGCTTTTTGACAAGAGCCCAGCTTGTCTGTGGATAGCAACTTCAGTGTATGGGGCCTCAATGGCAACAACATTTCCCAGTGGTGTTTCTTGGATTGAGCAGTATACGACCATCCATGGGAAAGCTGCAGCATTTTTTGTAGTTGGTGCTGCCTTGGGAGAAATGGCTATTCCTGCAGTAATTGGAATTCTTCAAGGAAAACATCCGGATTTACCTATAGTTTTGTACACCTCTTTGGGAGCAGCAATAGCCACTTCTGTTTTATTTCCTGTGATGTATAAATTAGCCACCTCACCTCTCGATCATCAACAGAAAGAACACAGAAAAAGCGAGGACCAGAAAGCTTTGCTCTCTAGCTCTGGGCTAAATGACTGTGAGGAAGAGAATGAAGAAGATGCAGAAAAATGGAATGAAATGGATTTTGAAGTGATTGAAATGAATGATACAATGAGGAATTCTGTAATAGAGACATCTAGAAATATTTTGATGGAACCCAGAGCAGAAGTCTCCAACCACTTCCACTCAAATGCATTAATGTTTGAGTTCTCTCCGGTTAATACTGGCAAGTCCTCTGTGAATCACCTTGCTAGAAACCAGAATAAAAGGGACTAACACTTAGAGAAGATGGATTCTTTACTGACTTTGCATATTCAGTCTCCAGTTCTAAAGAGGCCAGTCAGAGAAGAGCATTAGCAGATTTTCAACATGCTTTGGGGATCAGAATTTCTAGGTCAGAATATGGCAAATGCTAAAATGTTTTGAAATGTTCTGAAACGTTCTGTAATTCTCAGAGTCTTTCTTAAAGAACCACTAGTCTTGTAGAGCAGGATCTTGTTGAGGCTTGTGTTTGGCATGTGGCTGATTAGGTAACATTTTATGGTCTTCACCTTTCAGCATGCAAAGAGCCATTTGTTTTTGAGAAGCTGAGTACCATTTTAATTTTAATAGAATGAAATCATCTATTTGAATCTATTAGCTGAACAAGTGATCAGTCATCTGTATTCTGCCAGGGAAGTTGAGGAGAATCGTTTCATAAAAGAACATCTTTGAAAATAGAGATTTTTATTAATTGCTTTACCCTGTCTATAGCATTGGACCAAAGAATGCTAATGCCTCACCTGTTTTCTCATTTCTAGGAAGAGAACACAGAACAGGGCCTTAGAGACCTGGCTCAAGCCTTGACTGATGCTTACCAGTCTTCTGGCCCTACACTCAGTCACAGTTAACTTATGTAGGCCTTATCTCTTGATCTGTAATTCTATAAATGAAAATGAGGTGATTTCAAACTAGGGATCCACAAGTTTTAAAGTTTGTGTAAGATGTTTGCTAGAAATTAATGAGTACCACCCCATTCCTCATTTCAAATGAGAAGTGAAAATTGATAGCTTTAGGAATGTGCTACTGATTATGAACACGTCAGTTTTAGAGACTGTTTAATACTTTATTTGAATAATTACCCCAAGAATACATTTTTAGTACTGTATTTCATTGATTTTGAGATGCACTTTTTTTCACATTTTTAATTTCTCTGAAATGAGAATATCTAACATTGTGACAAAATTTAACTGAGTTTTTCCATATATGTATTTAAAGTAATACTGCATTTTAGAATCAGTGTCTTAGATTCAGTGAAATACAGTAATTCATTCAATTATGGAGATTATTGTTACAGACATTTTAAAAAGAAAAGTTATTTTTATGTGCTAATTTTCTCTAATTATGTTCACATGGGATTTGGAGATGCTATGTTCCGCTTCCGACTTTAAAAGCCGTCTTAGAGTCAGCTCCATTAGTAGGGCTGTGGACGAAGTTCTTGAGGTCCTTTGCTTACCTCAGTAAGAGTCTAGGTCTGAACCTTACTGTTTCAGGATTTGCTCCTCATTAGTCTGCTTGGTAATCACTTCAGCACTGTAAATCAGGCTGCTAGTTACAATGATGCATAATTTTTCCAGTGATTGGAATACTTGTATCATCCATCCAGGGCTCCTTTCTGAGTTCGAAATACCTGGGAAATCAAAGTAATGATTAGAAAGTGGCTTAGTGGCCTAGGGGTTGGGGATCACGAAGCGTACTTCGTACTAGTATGGCAAAGCTGATGTGTGCTATTCTGTGATAAATGACTAGCACTGATGACAGATTTTGTTCACTTTAACAAGTTTTATGCTGAATAACATGTAATTTCTACCTGATTGCAGTATGTCTTCTTTCTCTTAGCTAATGTCTATAAATTTGCCTTTGTTTTTTTCTATGTAAATGACATATAGTACCTTTCTTGACCACTGCCCATTCACCTTATTTACCTGCCACAATATTGGTTCATGTCAATAATCTAACAATTTTGGAGAGGGCCAGTGGAAAAATTAACAGTAAAAAGCCTCTTCTCCTTGCCTGTTTACACTGTGTTTTTCTCTTAGCCAGAACTTGGATATTATCTCTGCTCCATTTTTTACCTTTCCTCCAGTTGTTGGAATTTAAGCAGTAGCAGCTATTTGGCAGTCGGTAGGCTTGCTGGAACAGAGATTCTACCTATAGCATCTACATTTAAGGGGTAGAAGTTGCGACTCAGGGAGAGAAGGACGGCAATAAGAACATAGCAGAAAATTTGGAAATTCACACTGGAAAATCCACTTGATTTCCACAAACCAAAATGTGAATGGCCATATGAGATTATAGGCATTGTTAAAGTTTGTTGATGTATTTTCATATTGGAAGGATAAGACTTAATACAATTCCAAGAATTAGTATTCATCCTAAGAATCGGTTCTTAAGTAAGTGCCTGCTTATATACAAGTAACCAATACTGAAGTTTTCTTATTATTGTGTAACAAATTACCACAAATTTAGCAGCTTAAAATAACACATTTTTTTCACAGTTTCCTCAGCTCAGGAATTTGGGCATGACTTCACTGAGTTTTCTGCCCAGGGTCTCACAGGGCTGTAGTCAAAGCTGTTGGGTAGATCTGTGCTCCTTTGTGGAGCTTGGGGTTCTCTTCCAGGCCCACGTGACAGTATTCAGTTCTTTGCTGTGGTGGACTGAGGTCCCCATGTTTTGCTAGCTGTCAGCTTGTACCACTCTCAGTTCCTAGGACCTCCCACAGTTCCTTGCCCTGTGGCCCTCACATAGATCCTCTCTTGACCTGGCAGCTTATCTCTTCAAAGGAGAATCTCTTGCCTGAGTATGCTAAGCTGGAGTCTTATACAACATAATGTGAATGAATACAGGAGTGACATCCCATCACCTTTGCTCTATCCTGTTGGCTAGAAGCAAGTCACAGGTTCTGCCTATATTCAAGAAGAGAGGCTACTATAGAGATGTGACTCATTGGGGGTTAACTTAAGGTATCTGCCACACTCAGATACTTGTAAAATTAAACTTCAGGAGGGCTAAAAAGTTTGATCTAGGGAGAAAAAACCCTTCAATGGTCACTGAAAGTGATTATAGGTATAACCCATTGAGTATACTTGAGTGGGAATGGATGGCTCTCCATAGGCCAGGCCAACAAGCATGATAGAAGAGAATTTTTTGTTTGTTTGTTGTTTGTAGTTTAACTCAGTTATGCTTTTTTTCCCTTGGTATTTTACCACTGTGCTTTTAACCTATTCAAATGCAGCTTAATATGAAAGAAATAGGTAAGTTTCAGTTTAATTGCATTTTCATAGTAAAGTGCAAAAACACTTCGAGAGCATTTTGCAATTCTGTTGTTTTTTAAAAATCTTTTAAAAATTTTGTTTTTATTATGAAGGTATAAAGTCATGGTAGAAGATAAGGAGGTACATAAAAATGTAAGGGGCAAGTATAAGTAATTCATAATCCTAAACACTTAGGAAAGTTCTTATATTTTTCATCAATTTAATTTCCTAAATAAAGGGTAAAAGGGTAAAAAAAGAAAATTTCCTCTACCAGATAAAGTATCAGAAACAATTTTAATTCTGTGTCCAGGATATATTGATAGTATAGTTGGTGGACTGGTTATTAGTTTGAAGTATTATAGATTATTTTTTTAAAAAATGTAATTGAGAGATGCCAGTGTAGCAGCATAGTCCCAAAAAATGTGCGAGACCCAGGTTACATGTAAAATGATTTTGTTTCAGGTAAATTCATTGTATACTCAGGATTGCTTTCTCATAACCAGAGATTTGGGTTTACCATAGCAATGTATCACTCAGTCCTGCCACTTAACACTTAATCAGTAAACTAGAGCTTAAAAGTCTTAATGGAAATAGATACATTCTTCTGGGATGCCCTGTGTGTTTAAGTGCCACTTGTTTTGTTTATAGTGTTGTGAGCATGTGTGTTTGATGTGTGAACCCACCAATATTAACCTCTGTTTTATATTTTCTGATACTGTGGGGTGCAGTGGGGTTAGAGGTGGTAGGGAAGAGATTAAAAAAAGCATAAGAAAAAAAAAAAAGCCCGAGGTATTATTCAAAGTTTGTGAGAAGTATTCCTTTATTGAGGTTTTATTGTAGATTTACATGCAGTTGTACATAGTGTTTTATTCAAACTTGCTGAGTGAGGGATACTTGCTTAGTAGGGTAGGAACTAGATTAGTGCTTCTCATACTTCTTGCCCATCCTCTGTGTATCTCTAGTCCAGATTCTAGAAGGAACCTGTCTGACAACTTGAATCGTTGCCATTGTTCTTACTGGGCAGAGCCCAGCCTCAAGATTTGCTGGTCAGTCTATGAATGGACCTCTTTTGGATTGGTGCCTACTACCCTCCATCCGGAGAGTGGCCACCCCTACACTCCTTCCTTCACTGCTGTGAGTCAAGAGCTGTTATAACCAAAAGGGATGTTCCCCTGTCTGCTCTGTACCGTGGTTGGTGATGGGCTCAATGAATATTTGCTTGTGGGTGCCTGAATGGGATGCATGCAGATTCTTAAGCCCTGATAGTGATGGTCTGGTTCATGTTTTGAATCAGAATTGGAAAAACAAAATCACACTAAATTGCAGACACGTTTTGAAGCGCTTACTAGACAAGGTTAATAGTGAACTGTTTGGTTTCTGTCAGAGAAAAAGGCTCCGTCCTAACAGGGTAGCATTTATACTTGAGTGAGATACAAGAGGATTCCCATTTTGTTAGAGGTATTTTATAGCTCTAATCTTTGTAGACCAGAAGATTTCCAAGTCCTTGCATTTCAGTCATTTAACAGGTATCTACTGAGCAGTTACTGCATTTAGTAAGCACCCTGGGAATACAACCAAGGACAAGACAGATGAGATCCTTGCCTTCACCAAGCTTATGTTTTACCATTCAAGTGAGATTTGCTATGACAACCTTTCTCTTAGCTGAAGAGCCAGCAAAGCTTATTGTAATAGGTTTTACCCAGTTCCAGAAAAGTCAGTAAAGTAGCTGAGCTCTTGTTTCCGTGACATGTGCTTGTGTCTGTTCATTTCCAGTATTTTACATGCAGTCTTGGGGTCATTCTTTGAGTTTTATAAACAAATTACTTAGCTCAGTGCAGTCGAGATGAATAGTGAAAAACCACTTAAGAAGGCTACAGCATGGGGGTCTGACACCAGCCTGGGGATTTGTGCCGTACAGCCAACAGGCATGGTTATGGTTGAAAATGCACCTTGGGTTACGCCTGTGAGCCAACTGAGCAGGTTCTCATTTCTCCGTCCTTTGACTTACCACTTTCAGAGAACTTTCTGTCCTAAGGAGATCACCCATTTCCGAGTCCAAGCACTCTTTGGGCCTTTACCCTTGATGAAGACAGACTCAGATGAAAGCATTTAGAAAAGGAAAAGTTTACCTACAAAGAGCAAGAGAAGGACTGGCTTGCTAAATGAAAACACGAGTATTTAAAGAAAAAAAAGAACTACCAAGATTTCAAGTGTACATTAGTCTGTTCATGGTGGAAAACCGGTAATTCTCCCACGTGATTATCATTCACAAAGGTCATGACAAGTCTTCAGATTTTAGCACAGCAGAAAACGGAAAAATTGCTGGGGAGTCCAGGAGAAAAGTTCAAGGTTTTATTGCTTTGAGATCAGAATCAGTTAGGCGACTTTGTTCCTTTTGGTTTATCTCAGAGTGCAAAATGTCTGCTGACTGTGATATCGGATGTGCTTAGTCATAATGAAGCAATGCGAAGTGACATTTTGATACTATACCTTCCAGAATTCATATGCTCCAAGAGGAAAAAAGGCCCAAGGGAAAAACATGATAGCAGCATGTATTCTTGTCCCCTGGTCAAGTGATAAGCCTTTGCTCTGGTCGTTTTTTAACCCTGGCTGCTGTTAGAATCATTTAGGAGAGGTCAAAAACTGATGCCCAGTATTTTTAATTAAATAAGAATTTAATTGGTCTGGAGTGGAGCCTTAGTATTGATATTTTTAAAAGTACCCCCCAGTAATTGTAATATGCAGTTGAGGTTGAGAAGCACTGTTTTTATCAATGCAGAGAACTAGAACCTCTGTTAGTTATAGTGATTTTTAAAGGCTAATTTGAGGCTTGGTTAAGTCATGCTACTTTTGTAGATGCTTGAAATTCTGTGCGCTTTCTCTTCCTCTCCCATTTCCTGTTACCTCCTGCTGCTTGATCAATTAAAGGGAATAATCAATACTGTTGTTTGACATCCTGCCCTAACAGAAACCAAATCTGGACCTTTTGGAAGTTGCTCTTCTAGACAGGTTTTCACTAATCGATTTTGATTTCAGCGCCTTAAAGAGGTATGGGTGATCTTGTAAATTTGTTAAATCTGAATTTAAGAATGCTCACTGTTTACATGGCTTTGTACAGTGTAAAAGCTTGTTTGAATAAAATATTGATGTAAACACTGATGTTGTCTTAAGATTTGTATCTCATTTCATGGATGTTTAAAAATGTTTGGCATCTCTTTAGAAATTAGTCAAGAATATTTCCGGATTTTGGATTGTGAGTGCTCCAAAATGTATGTGATAGTTGTACTGGGTTCCTAAAATGTGATTAGTATTTTATTTTCACTTCACAAATATTTTAGAAATGACATCTAACATCTTTAATGACATCTAACATTTTAAGCCCTTCAGCTTCTCAAGTTTATGATCTAATTTCTAAACGTACAAGTCCACCAAAGAAGCTGTTACTAGCTGGATATCTTAATGTTTTACTTGAATAATAATTCATTAATTAAGATTACAGATATGTCTGTTTCAGAATAGAAAGGAGAGTTTCAGAATTGCAGAAACCAGGATGCTTCTTGCTTCCCACTCTACAGGGCCCAGCAACAGAAAGCCTATGGTTAGTGACCACAGTTCTACTTTTTAACTTGTTTGAAACAACTATAGTGATAATCTGGTTAAATGCTTCTAACCCGGAGCAAGATTCCAGTGCACAGCAACCTCCCCACCCTTTTCACACTTTACCTGGAGTCTTGGGAGGATGTTTTAAAAGTGGGAAAGTTTAAGCTTAGCTTATCTTATCTGAGCAGTTATAAGTGACCTTCCAGGTGCCCTTATTTGACTGCTACCATCTGTGTGTTCATTAACCTGAGTTTACAGCTATGCACTCTACTCTGGCCAGGGATCCTCTTCTATCTTTGCCATATGCCAAGGACTCTGTGCAAAGTTTGACCTTTTCTGGCTTCTACGTACAAAACTCTAGAAGCCTTGGCATTGGGCCAGATATAATAAACTTTCAAGTATAACTGACTATGATATCCTAAGGGCCCCAGTACTTTTCGTGAGAAAGCGGGGATTCGGTGTGTCATTCCACTCCTACTTCATCTTCCATGGATTTAGTTAGGCAGGAGAGTCAACCATATCACCCAATCCTAAGGGTTCCCTGGGTCAGAAGGACAGAGTTAAAGGCTGTGGTTCATGAGGACAGGCTGGAAGACTGGGGCCCCTCTGCTACCTCCTACTAGAAAAGATAATGGTTTGGGGAGTGGAATTTTTCTCTTTGCTCACTACAGCTGCTGTTTAATTCTCTCTCCATTGGGAAACTTTAATGGATCCAATAGGATATGAAAAAAAAGCTCCTATGCAGTGTGATGTTTCAGAGCGTGGATCTGCAGTTTGTCAGCCTGGACTTGAATTCTGACTCTGTCACATAACAACTTTGATTACATTCCTTAATTTTTCTGTGCCTCGGTTACCTTTCACGGGGGTAGACAGTGAGACTTAGATACTGTTTGCAAAGCACATAGCATGTTGCCTCATACACACTGCTATGGGCTGAATCGTGTCCCCCATTTTCTCTCTCCCCTCTCCCCCACATCCAGTTCATATGTTGAAGTCTTAACCCCGACTTACTAGACTATGACTGAAGATGGGGCCTTTAAAGAAGCATTTAAGCTAAAATGAGGTCATTAGGATAGGCCCTAATCCAATATGACTGGCCTGTATAAGAAGAGGAAATTTGGACACAGGTGCAGAGGGGAGACCATGTGAAGACACAGGAAGAAGACAGTCATGTACAAGCCAAAGAAAGAGGCCACAGTGGAAACCAGTCCTCCAATGCCTTGATTTCAAACTTCTAGCCTTCAGAATTGTGGGAAAGATTTCTGTTAAGTCATCCAGTGTGTGGTACTTTTTTATGGCAGCCCTAGCAAACTAATACACATACTAAGTATGCAATAAATGTTAGCTACTATTGCTCTTATTCTTATTACCAAACCACTCAGCCAAAGAAAAATTCAGCCAAAAATGGGGAATTTTAATCAGAAAAAAGTTTAGTAAAAGAGACATCTACAAAAGAGAAGTAATAAGAGTATTTTTATAACTTGTCTCTGAGAATGCTAGATGGGATACCCTAACTAAGCTAAAGAGGTTTTGGGTTCACAAGGACACTTATTTGTCCTGGCAAGTCAATAAGAAGATGTGTGGCAGGGAGCTCACACACCATGGTGTCTGAGGCACCATGCTAAGGATGGACTCCCTTGGACCTGGCAAAGTAGCTAAAATAACTAGAGCCCACTAGCAGCAAGAGAGAATCAGCAAGAGTATACAGTTACTTTTAATGGGTAATACATGTAGTACATAATAAACAGTATGAAGGTAAATTAAAAAATCATATTCACCCTTGACTCTTAACCCCAACACCCATTATGGCAACCACTCTTATTTTTGTGCATCTTCTAGAGATATTCATGTGTGTACAAAACTTTATGTGTGTGTATATATTTATGAACATAAATATCCTCTTTCTTTTTATTGAGATAGAATTGACATAACCGTATTAGTTTTAGGTGTACAACATAATGATATATGTATGTACTGTGAAATGATCACAATAGATTTAGTGAATATCCATCACCACACAGTTAAAAATATTTTTTCTTTTTATGAGAACTTTTAAGATTTACTGACGTAACGTTCAAGTATACAATACAGTATTATTAACTTATAGTCATCACCATGCTGTACTTTATATCCCCAAGACTTATTTATTTCATAACTGGAAGTTTTTATCTCTTGACCTCCTTCACCCATGTCAGTCATCTCCCACCTCTGGCAAACACCAGTCTCTTCTCTGAGTTCAGTTTTGTTTTTAGATTCCACGTATAAGTAATATCATACTGTCTTTCTCTGACTTATTTCGCTTGGCATGATGGTCTCAAAGTTCATTCACATAGTCACGAATGACAGGATTTACATCTTTTTAATGGCTAATATCCCACTGTGTATGTTTGTGTATGTATGTGTATGTATATATGTATATGTACATGTATGCATACACACACATCTCTCACATTTTCTTTATCCATTCATCTGTCAATGGGCACTTAGGTTATTTCCATGTCTTAGCTATTGTAAGTAATACTGCAATGAACATGAGGATTCAGATATCTTTTTGAAGAAGTGATTTTGTTTTCTTCAGATAAATACCCAGAAGTGAAATTGCTGGATCATATGGTAATCCTATTTTTAATTTTTTGAGGAATTTTCATACTGTTTTCCATAGAGACTGTGCCAATTTATAATCCTACTGTTTGTGCACATGGATTCCATTTTTTCCACATCTTCACCAATATTTGTTATTCTTGCGTTTTGATAATTTTCATTCTTACAGGTATGAGGTAATATCTCATTGTGGTATTGATTTACTTTCCCCTGATGATTAGTGATGTTGAGTATCTTTTCATGCACATGTTGGCCACCTATAGGTCTTCTTTGGGAGAATGTCTATTCAGATCCTTTGCCCATTTTTTAATTAAATTTTTTTTTCACTATTGAGTTTTATGAGTACTTTATATATTTTAGACATTAACCCCTTATCAGATATGATTTGCAGGTATTTTCTCCCATTCAGTGGGTTACCTTTTCATTTTTGTTGATTGATACATTTCCTGTGCAGAAGCTTTTTGATATATAGTCCCACTTGTTTATTTTGCTTTTGGTGTCAAATCCAAAAAAATCATTGCCAAGACTGATGTCAAGTAGCTGACTTATTGTTTTCTTCTAGGAGTTTTTTGGTTTAAGGTCTTACATGCAAGTCTTTAATCCGAGCAAATTTTTGTATGGTGTAAAATAGGGGTCCAGTTTCATTCTTTCGCATGTTACTGTACAGTTTTCTCAACACCATTTATTGAAGACACTGTCCCTTTGTCGTAAATTAATTGACTACATATGGGTTTATTTCTGGGCTCTCTATTCTGTTCCATTGATCTATGTGTCTGTTTTTATGCCAATACCATACTGTTTTGATTACTGTAGCTTGGTAATATAGTTTGAAATCAGGGAGCATGATGCCTCCAGCATGTTCTTTCTCAAGATTGCTTTGGCTATATGGGATCTTTTGTGGTTCCATAAAAATTTTAGAATTGTTTGTTTTAATTTTGTAAAAAATGCCATCAGAATTTTTATAGGGTTTGCATTGAATCTGTAGATTGCTTTGAGTAGTATGGACATTTTAATAATATTAATTTTTCCAATCCACAAGCATAGAATATCTTTCCATTTATTTATGTATTCTTCAATTTCTTCATCGGTGTCTCAGTTTTCAGAATATAGGTCTTTCACTTCCTTAGATAAACTTATTCCTAAGTATTTTACCGAATTTATTTATTAGTTCTAGTAAATGAATTAGAACTTTGGCAGACTCTTTATTGTTTTTTTATATGTAATATGTCACATGCAAATATATACAGTTTTACTTCTTCCTTTCTGATTTGGATGCCTTTTATTTCTTTTTCTTGCCTAAATGCTCTGGTTAGAACTTTCAATAGTATGTTGAATAAAAGTGGCCAGAGTGGGCATCCTAGTTTTTTTCCTGATCTTGGAGAAAGAGCTTTTGGTTTTTCACCATTGAATATGATGTTATCGGTGGGCTTGTGATTATATTAGATTGAAGTACATTCTTCCATATCTACTTTATTAAGAATTTTTGTCAATCGATGTTGAATTTTGTCAAATGCTTTCTGTATCTATTGAGATGATCATACGATTTTTATTCTTTATTTTCTTAAATGGTATATCATTGATTTGCAGGTATTGAACCATCCTTAAATCCCATGGATAAATCCCCATGTATGATCATTTTAATGTATTGTTGAATTTGGTTTGCTAAGACTTTAGGGATTTTTGTATCTACATTCATCAGAAGTATTGGCCTATAATTTTCTTTTCTTGTAATATCCTGTCTGGTTTTGGTCAGGGGAATGCTGGCCTTGTAAAATGAGTTTGAAAGTTTTCCCTCCTTTACTATTTTTTGGAAAAGTTTGAGGATTAGTATAAATTCTTCTATAAATGTCTGGTAGAATTCACCAGTGGAGCCATTTGGTCCTGGACTTTTTTTGTTGGGAGGTTTTTGATTACTGATTCTCTCTCTTTGCTAGTCTTGGTCTGTTCAGACTTTCTAT